ACATTGCAATGACTACTACATACCGTCTGCATTTCTTTTAAGTCTTCTTATAATAACAACGACCCAGCAAAAACTGGGCTGTACTTCCATAATGCTATACGCACAATTGGGATGAACGACGATTTTTCCGGAACGAATTATGGATAGATTTATTTCCATTTTATACGCAGACGAACGACGAATAAATTGGAGTAGAGTGACCCTCTTACATTTTGGTTTTATATTTTTTTGTAAATTAAGTTATTTTTTTTGTTTTAAGCTGGGCTTTCATTTAGGTTTATGCTATATAAACAAAGTTAACGCGATTTTTTATTGATATAATTTTCATTCAATATGAAAATAAAAAATAGTTTAAAAATTTTCAAATAAAATATTTTTTTATTTGACATTTTAAAGACATTTTAAAGCAATTCGCAATACAGAATGATTTATTGTGTTTCAGTCGACGAATATACGCAACGAATCATTGTCAAGCAATTCGTTGTGTTGGACGAAATTAGTCGTTCGTCCCAATTGTGCGTATACTATAACTACTTACTTTTCTATGACTACTATTTACCGTCTACATTACTTTGAAGCACTCTAGTAATGACTTTCTTATAATCTGATATAGAAGTACTTTATTTTCGGCTTTATCATTTTGTTTGCACATTTTATTTAATTGCGTGTTATGAATTATGTTTTACAAAAAAGGAAACAAAATTAAATTTATATGTGAAAATTATTATTTGACGCACAATAAAATAGTCCTGGTTCGTATTCTAGCTGGCTCTTTTTATTATTAAAAAATAAAACAACTTACTAAACAATTTCTTTGTAAGAGAAGCGTGGAAGTACTTGCCTCCAATGTACTTCTTTAAGTAGTTATTTGTAAGCGAGCGTAGTAAGTACTTGCATCAAACGTCCTCGCCGTATTAAAACAATAAGTAATAATGCTAATAAATAAGTGGTGAAAGTCAGTATTTTAACCTTTTAACTCATTAGTTTTTAATGTAAGTTTTTTCTGGGTATATACTTTCATACTTTCGTACATACTCAACTAAAGATTTGTTCAGACCTTTCAAATATTTGACGAAGAACAAATTTTTTGTAAATTTATTTTTGATAACAAAGATATATTATGTGTGTGCAAATAAATATACAGATATATTTACTGCCTTATGCAAAAACGATTACTAAAGTTAACAATGGTTTACTACACACTTTCTCCATATAAAATCGAAAGAATCGTTTTTGCATAAGGTAGTTAAAGAAAATCAAATTTCCATTTTTTAGGGGTCACATCATTTTCGTCAAATATTTGATAGGTGTGAAGGTAGCTTAACCCTCACAAATGCTATCGATATCGATGGTATTATTACAAAATATTTAAATAAGTAACTAAAGCCAGCGACATTTAAAAACATATACAAAGTCATTGCCTTTAATTAATTGAAATATGAAGAGACCAACAAACTGATTGTGCAAAGCGTTATATAGCATTGACATTCACAATAAACAAATACATACGTTTATTGATACAACAAAGTGTCAATGGCGTTTTTTTATTTCCCCATATTGTTTCCCAATAGGATAATAAAAATATCAACAACCATGGCAATCGATCTGACTAAGCAGAATCAATATCAATAATTATTGCCCAATTATAATTTTGTATAAAATATTTAAGAAAAATCGGTTTATTAAGTTAAACATATAGTTCTACTCAACGAATTAAAAATCATTGATTGTATTGTATACATCAAATTGAACCAATTTTGGTTAAGATCTCCCTATTCAAGACTGCTTTCATTTCGTGGATCACAGTATATGGTTGCAATATAAGCTAAATATTGTATAATTTTAGTTATTTTATTCACCTTTTCATGATCTAACCAATGTCTAAGTAATTCGTCGGCCTTAAATCCGTATCAAAGTATAACTTTTGTTGATGCATAGGCACTATTTTATCAATTTCGTAATAAGTGTTTTATGCTAATTATGCATTTTATACGAAAAACGTTTTAAATTTTATCAATTTTGTGCAAAGCTACGTATTTAAAGCAAATATTCACATGCATGTATGTAGTAGGGGAATTTCACGTCAAGTGACCCAACTCAAAAAATCGATTTCGACGAAATTTGCACTAGGTCAGATACAAATTTTCTGCTCTATCGGTCAAGAATTGTCGGAGTCAGAGGGGGTCAAGTTGGACATTTTGGTCATACAGGGTTTTATTCAAATGAGTGTAACATTTCATCTATTGGTCCTACCAAAAATTGTCCAAAGGAGCTATTTCTTTAATTTGTGTACGGCCTACTATCCCATAGTACTTACCTTGCTACAAATTTCATCAAAATCGAAAAACATCGATTTTTAAAGTGGGGTCACTAGACACGAAATTCCCCAGTATTAAATTTGTAATATGTTTAATACTACCCTGCAGTAGAAAAAGTGACAAATATTTCATTTCGTTTGTACTAGTTAATATGCCTTTTTAAACTTTTCGAAGGGTTATAATTAGTTTCTAATATAATTTCGAAATTCGAAAGCCAAGAACCAGGAGCTCTAAGTTAGTGGGTTAATTTGAATTAGTGTGTACATATTAACACAACTGCTGGGTCAAGTTATATAAACCAACTAATGTAACCAACACTAAGAATTGCTAACATTTGGTGTCATTTGCGTTTATTTCCTATTTTTTCATCTCCTTCTGAAAATTCACATTATTAAATGCTTTTACCGCAGATGAGAGCTAAATTGAGTTTTTTTTTTTTTTTTTTGTTTCGGTTGTTAGTATGAAATGACATTTAAAAGATTGTGTGTTGAAAAATGTTTGTTTATACATTTTATTGGTAATGTTCTTTTTCGTGGCATGTATTTTATTCTACAAGTATGAATTTTTTGAAATGTTAATGTTGTCATTTTTTGTTTCTTCAAAAGGATGTTTTAATGTAAATTTCTTTGAGGGCGCCTTTTGCTCTTTATCTCGTGTAAATTTGTACACGTATTTTATGCAGAATTAAAATGCGTTTCTGTGTCAGTCACTATTCAATCGAAAGCAAAACAACGACTAGCTATTAAAAACAGAGTTGAGGGTAAATATATGAAATTTTAATTTCACAGCAACTTAAATATTTTAGTTTTGCTTCAACTGCAAATAATGTTCCATTTTTTTAAAATTTATTTCTTTTGTTTTTCCTATTTGGCATAAAATTACTGTTTAGTTACTTTTGCATTCAAAACTACATGTACGTGCTTTAACTGTTAGAAATAAGTTTTAAATGAATTATTCACCTTACTTAAACAAAGTTTTTCGATTTTTATTACAGTTTTGCGGTTTCATTTTAAAGTTTTTGCTTTAAAAATCAATTATTTTCATTTAATTGTAAACAACAGCATCATAATTGTGGTTATATTTAATTGATATTTTTTTTTAATTTTTAACTATATGTTTTAAATAATTAATTAGTGTTTCGACTGTATTAATTGTATTTGCAATATGTTAGGATTTGATAATGGCTAAAATATTGTCAACTAAAATAAGCAATAAACAAAAACTATTTGTATAAATTATGTACAATCAATCATTTGTACTACACATAACATTTATTAAATAATTTTACTATTATCAGGGGAAACATGTGAGAAGCACTTATTTTCGAAAACCCAATAATACACATTTGTACATGATTTAACAACAATAATTGATTGACATTAAAGCAACTATAAAGCAATAAAAATATGTATGTATTTCACTTAAATTTCCAAAAACATAAGAACAAAGTAATAAACATTTAACAACAGCTAATGGAAAATTATTGAAATACAACCAAAAATAATCAAACAAATTGTCAGGTCACTGAACTGCTCAGCTTTAATAACTTAACACAAACTGCAATATGTACTTCCTAATAATCAAGCATTAGACAATTTTTAGTTTTATTTTATAAAGATAAACAGGCAACAAATTATAGTCGGGTATGTTCATTCATATCATACCCTATTTTAGTATTTTTACTATGAAAATAATTTAAATTTAATTTTATAACAGATCCGGAATTAATACGACATCGTATAATTATTACATTTATACTGTTATATTTATAACTAACTTTTAACTAAATTCTGTGTATAAATTACGAACAAATTCTGGATACAAAGAAAAAACTTAAAATGGGTTTCAATTATCAAAATAATTGTATCAAACAACATTTGCACTTATTAACAAAATTGAAATGAATGAAAAAGGGTTCAAAACCCTTGCCTTCTTCAAATGGTTATTCTTAAAAAATGGCTTTCCATGAACGCAAACTATCGATTTGTTGTGATGAAATGTTATTGAGTTCTGATATTGCAATTCAGGCGTAGAACTAATATGTAACCAACTAAATATTTTAGCAATTACTTTAAACTATTCCCCTTTTGTAAAGTTAATCGTGGCATGTAATTATAGCTAATTTGTCATAATGACACATTTGAAATATGTAGCACTTTAAACACATTCATATTAATCAAAATTTGGTCTTTATAAAACACAAATGACTTTATTACTATACATATTGTAAAATGCATTTAAACAAAGAAAATAAACCTTTCAAAAAGCGTCAATAACCTGGGCTAACAAATTTACGCTTAAACTGTAAAACATTTTGAAATGAAATGGAAAGTTTTAAGTTGAAATTTTTCATTGTTTAATAAAATCAATGTGGGCCCATAAATTATTTTCCTCTTTGTTTTCGTAATGTAGTAAAAGTTTATCTGCAGTAAATAAAATTGATATTAACGGCTTAAAAGAGAGGCTAAATTACAGCATCGAGGGTTGTTATAATAGCAAGTTCAATTTTAGTATTTTATTTCAATAATTTAACATAATGGTTTATGCTTTAGAAGTTAATTTGTTTATTATGTGATACAAGTAAAACATTTAATTAGAAGTTCTATGAGGTAATTATTTGGTAAATCATATACTGTAAGAACTTTATAAGTATCTGTTTAAAATTGTTACTAGATATTGCAAATGTACACCAGAATTATTTATATACCATAGATTTCAAAGTCAAATCATTCCATAAATATTTGCAATTCAAACAAAGTTAATAAAAACATGAAATTTTTAATAAAAGTTTCATTCTTCGTGGTGCTTGTAGGCCTCCACAAAGGTATTTTTTTATTTTTAATTTTTCACAAAAAAGCTTTTAAAAATATCCTTTATTCTTTCCATTAGTAACTTCTTACAAGCATTCAAATCAAGCTGTGTGGTATGATACTGATGACGAATGCTCACTTGATCGTCAATCACCAATTGAATTAAATTATCATGATGTAAGTCCTTAATCATTTTTAAAAGAAATAATATTTATTAACGTCCTCTTATTTTTAGGCTCACGAAAGCTCTGGCATTCAACCAATTACCTTCAACAATTATAATTTAGCCTATATAACACCCTCTCCGATAAGAAATAACGGTCATTCCGCCGATTTGCAATTTTCTAAGAGCAATGTTGCTACCATATCAGGTGGACCATTGCACAATGACGTTTATAAAGCCGAATCTCTACATTTCCATTGGGGATCAGGGGATAATCATGGCTCCGAACATATGGTTGGTAATCTGCGTTACTCAATGGAAATGCATATTGTTCATCGTAATATCAAGTATGCTACCATTGCAGAGGCAACAAAACATAAAGATGGTTTAGCGGTGTTGGGTGTATTTTATAATGTAGAGGTATTTCCGCTTGTTATTATTATTTCTACAATTTAGAAATAAATATTTTCACTTTAGCCCTCTGCAAAAAACTTTAAAGGCTTGAGTAAAATTGATGTAGCTTTGGGTGCCATTCAACAATACAATAGCTCCACTCTTGTGAATAATCTAATCATTGAAAAATTATTTAATACTATTGACAGAAATGAGTTCTTCACCTATAAAGGATCTTTGACTACACCACCTTGTTCTCGGGCCGTTAACTGGATTGTATTCCCAGAACCCATTGTCATTTCCACACAACAAATCAAAGGTTTCCGTTCATTGTTTGATAGTCATGGAGAGCCCTTGGTAAATAATTATCGTTTCTTGCAAGCCAAGGGTAAACGTCAAGTATTTTTCCGCTCTAACAATGAACTTTAAAAATTAAAGCCTAAATTAAATGTTACTTATGACGAAAGCTGAAATGTCTTTACTACTTTTTAATAAAATAAAAATTAAAATATTTTAACAAAAAAGAGTGTAGTTTTCTTTTGATTCTAAAGAACAACATTCCTATAGTACGAAAAGTGCCAATTGTCACCTTTTACTAGTTATATTACCGCATATCCAACTAACTAGTTACCTGCGGTTAATAAAGTGGTCGATATTTTGTTTAAACCTTCTCTATATTTCACAACTGTAATCAATAGTTCACATTTGAAAAATTTTCACATGCAGGGATTTTAAGGTGGATTAGGTTAATTAGGTTCACAAAAAAATTTTTAAAATTTTATCAATTTTGTGCAAACCTACGTATTTACACAAATATTTACATGCATTTATATACATATGTAGTATTTGTAATATCCCTGCAGTACGACGAACTAGTTCGACAACGGCAATATTAACAGCCACTAAGAACTACAACTAGTGAATTTTCAACCCACTAGCAATATTATTTACTGGTGAATTTAACATGGGGATGTCATTGAGAGTGGACAATTGACACCTTATGCATAACATGTTTCCATTAATATCACTAGTTCAAATTCTCCAACAAAAACAAAAAATAAAAAGAAAAAATGAATTCTGAAACTGGGGTTGAACTTGGGGCCTATCGTTTTGTAGTTAGAAGCTCTCACCACTGAGCTATTGATCTCTTGTTCGTACAAAGCTCTAATTGTTTTTATGAATGACATGCAATTTTTATAACAATTTTTGCATTTTCTGCTTCATTAAATGCAAAATGTCACTTTCAGCATTACATTTCGTCAGAAATGTGCCATGCGGTTACTTTAAGCACTACATGTGGCTATCAAAGTGACATTTTTAAAACATATAATTTGTCTGGGATTTATTTTCATAAACTTCATGCGAACATTTATCAAATGTGAACTATTGATTACAATGGTGAAATGTATTGATCGTTTCGACAAAATATCGACCACTTTATTTACCAGAGGTAACTACTTAGTTGGATGTGCGGTAATATAGCTAGCGAAAGGTGTCAGTTGGCACTTTTCGTATTGTAGGGATGTTTAATACTACTCTGCAGTATGAAGAGTGACAAATATTCGTTTCGTTTTCGAATAAACTATGTTCGATTGTGCTAGTTAATACTATTATTTAAAGTTTACAAAATGTGATAATTAGTTTCTAATATAATTTCGAAATTTAAAGAAACTAATGACGAAAGCCAAAAAGCAGGAGCTGTAATTATGAATTAGTTTGAGTTAATACATCTTAATTGCTGGGTCAACTTATATAAACCAACTAATGTAACCAGCACAAAGATTTGCTAACATTTGGTGTCATTTGCGTACATTTTCTATTTTTTTTTCACCTCCTTCTGAAAATTCTCATTACTAAATGCTTTTACCGCATATGAAAGCTAAATTGAGTTTTTTTGGTTTCGGTTTCGGTTTTTGTATGAAATGACATTTAAAAATTTGTGTGTTGAAAAATATTTGTTGTTTCATGGCATGCTTTTTTTTTACAAGTATAAATTTTTTAAAATGGTAATGTTGTAATTTTTTTCCTTCAAAAGGATGTTTAATGTAAATTTCTTTTAGGGCGTCTTTTGCTGTTATACACTTACTTTATGCAGAATTTGTATCTGTGTCAGTCACTATTCAATCGAAAGCAGAACAACGACTAGCTATTAGCAACAGAGTTGAGGGTAAATGAATGAAATTTGAATTTCACAGCAACTTATCTATTTTATTTTAGCTTCAACTGCATTTAATGTTCGGTTTTTTAATTTGTTTCTTTATCATACAAATTTATTTTGTTTTTCCTATATGGCATAAAATTACTGTTTAGTTACTTTTCCATTTAAAACTACATGTACTTACTTTAACTGTAAGAAATAAGTTTTAAATAAATTATTGACATTACTTAAACAAATTTTTTCAATTTTTATTACAGTTTTGCGGTTTTATTTTAGTTTTTCTCTTTTAAAATCAATTATTTTCATTTAATTATAAACAGCAGCTAATGCATCATAATTGTGGTTATATTTAATTGGTATTATATTTATTTTTAATTGTATATTTTGAACAATTAATCCCCAATTTTTTTTTTTTATTTTACAGAACAGATACGAATTTCATAAAAAATTTCAACCAAGTTTAATCATTTGAATTACAAATCACACCTATTTCAATAAATTTACTATTATAAGGGGAAACATGTGAAAAGCACTTGTTTTCAAAAACACAATAATTTATACATATTTGTATATAATTAAACAACAATAATCAAATGACAGACATTAAAGCAACTACTATAAAGCAATAAACACATTTCACTTAAATTCCCATAAACATAAAAACAAAACAATAAACATTTAATAACAGTTAGTGGAAAATTATTGGAACTTATTCGAAAAATACAAAAAAAAAAAAAATACAAAAAGTCAGGTCACTGACTTTAAAAGCTCAACAAAAACTACAATATGCACTTCTTAATAATCAAGCGTTAGACACAAAGCTGAAAGCTGACGCGTCAAATGATGTCATCATATCCCATTTGTGAAAAAATGCCACTATATCATAAATAATTTTTATAACAAATGTTCTTTAGTTATACCCTACACCACTTTAGTGGGAGGGTATATTGGGTTTGTGCTGATGTTTGTTACACACAAAAATATTAGTCCTATACCCACCCACAAAGTATACCAATCGGGTTAGAATAATTTTCTGAGTCGATTAAGCTATGTCCGTCTGTCCATCCGTCCGTCTGGCTGGCTGTCCATGTAAACCTTGTGTACACGCGCTTTTTTGGTCCAAGGACGAAGCCTATTGAAAATAATTAAAATCGGCCCATTATTTCACCTAGCTCACATACAACAGAACCCCCCGAAAAGGACCTTTGAGCACATAATTATGTTAAATATGCCTGAATCTAGATAAAAAGCGGCATAATTAAGTTTCATATAAGCCCTAATGGCCTTGCCGAATTTCAAAATGATCGGACTCACTTGACCCTAGCTCCCATACAAAGTCCCCTTCAGAAAATGACTTGAATATATTCAATTCACTTATAAACACTAATATTGCAAACAAGATTATATTGAAGATAAATACTTTATTATGAAAAATAAATCACATTTAATATTCAAAACTGGTGTAGGGTGTCATATGGTCGGCCACGCCCGACTATACTTTTTATTTTATAAATATTAATAGGCAATAAATTATAGTCGAGTATGTTCAATGCATTGATACCCTATATCCAATTAAATAAATAACAAACAATTAATATCAATAATTAAATCAAAATCTAAAATGAATTCATTTTTTAACTGTATTAATAAAATATTTAATAATAAAATTTTAAATTAAACAATTTACTAATCCATTAGGTGTTGTTTAACGAAAAAGTACCAAAAATCCATTCCTACAGATTTTCATTAACATATGACTCTTAATATTTAATTTTATGTTTCCAGGTTCAATGTTGTAAAAAAATTAAAAATTACACTTTGAAGAAAGAAAATGTACCAAAAAGATCCCTTGTTTGGGATCTATATGCCTTCATTGAGGAAAGAGAATGTACCAAAAAGTCCCATTTTATAGGTTCTCATTTACTCCGGGACCTACATGCATAATATCATGTTTCAAGACAATGACAACACACATCTTCATCCGTAAAGTGTTGCTCTTGCTCTGCTTCGTTTTTATAAATAAGTTTTTTAAATAGAAAACTTCTTGAAAGCATGTCTTACAGAATTGTTGAATATTTCTGGGGTCTTCAGAAAATTGATTTCATTATACAGACAGGCAGACAAACGGACAGACAGACCAGCATAGCTTAAGAGATTCCGCTATCTATAAGGATAACCGATATGTATATACTTTATAGGATCGGAAAATTATATTATAGAAATTAAAACCGAAAGGAAAAACTTACAGGATTTGTCAAAAAGAAGAAAGAAAACATGTTGATTGAAAATAAACTGCGGATAATATTTTCTGTGTAGATAATTTAAATATTAATATGCACTGAGAGATTTCATTGTCGTAATTCGAACCTATGGCACTATCAACAGATGGGCTAATAGTACTCATAACAAGATCGTTTTAGAATCTTGATAATAAAGATAAGTAAGAAAACGAATGTAAAATAGTTTAAAACCCTTACCTACATGAAATCGTAATTCTTAACAAATGGCTAACCATGACTATCATAGAATGAACGGAAACCTTCGATTTGTGGTGAAGAAAGGTTATTCGGTTCAGATGAAGAACTCATACGTAACTAACTAAATATTTTTAACTATTACTTTAAACTATTTCCCTTTCGTAAAGTTAATGGTGGAATGTAGGTAATTATCGCTAATTTGCCATAATGACAAATTTTCAATAACTTGCACTTTAAACACTTAATGAAAATTTTGTTTGTTCTTTATAAATCACAAATGACTTTATTACTTATTATAAAATGCATTTTAACAAAGAAAATTAGCCATTAAAAAAGCGTCAATAACCTGGGTTAACAAATTTACGCTTAAACTTTTTTAAACAAAATGGAAAGTTTTAAGTTAAAATTTTCCATTGTTTAATAAAAAAATGGATATATAAAATTAACAAAAAGAAAAAAACGGACCCATAAATTATTTTCCCCTTTGTTTTCGTAATGCAGTAAAAGTTTATCTGCAGTAAATAAAATTGATATTAACATTTTCAATTGGAATAAAAAAGTGGCTAAATGTTATTACAGCATCGAGGGTTGTTATAATAACGAATTAAATTTTAGCACGTTTTTAATAATTTTATCTAATGATTTAAGCTTTAGAATCTTTTTTCTTCTTACCAGCAAAGGAGAATAAGTTTAATTAATTCATAAGTGAAATACAAGTAAATTTCCGTGGTTGACTATCTTCATATCAAGCTAGAGCCATGATTTAAATAAGCATCGAGTGGACTCGAAATTTGTTAAGAATGTATAAGTTTTTTAATATACGTCTTTTAATATCCATTATGTACATTACAACAACAAGTTTAAAAAATTTTAATTTCACTCGATTACCAACAAACCTTTTAAGTTTAAACAAAATCAACAACTAAATCCAATTTGCAATAATATCAAACACTTCCAAACTTCTTAATTAAAAAATGATTACAAAATTGAAATTTAAATAATTGTTAACAATTTGTTTTAATTGCTTTTACATAAGTTAATTGTTTCTAATTTCTAATATGTCAAGTAATACATATATCACTCTGTTGAATTTATTAAACATTGTTGATAAATATTAATGTGTCCATGTCAGCTACAGTGGAAGCTATAAAGTTAATTTGTTTATTAGGTGATAAAAGCAATCAATCAATACACTCCCTTAATGGAAACTTAAACGCTTTTGTTTCGGTTATTAAGAAATGTATTACTCTAGCATTATTTGTTTAAACTGAACAAAAACAAAATTTAAATCAATTTTATCATTTCTATAGGTTTTATTAATTTATTAGGCTGATAATTAAATTAAACATTTAATTACAAGTGATATCAGGTAATAATTTGTTAAATCATATCAGCCTTATATGTATCTGCTTAAAAATGTTACTAGATATTGGAAATGCACACCAAAAATATTTTCTGCAATGCAATTTGTATATATACCATGGATTTCAAAGTCAAATCATTCAATACATTTTTGTAATTCAAACAAAGTGTTGGAAAGTTAATTTTTAAAAACAAAAAAATCATGAAATTTTTAATGAAAATTTTACTTCCGGTGGTTCTTGTTGGCCTGTTTAAAGGTAATTTTTTTTTTAATTTTTTTTGTTAAAAAATCTTTTCAAAATATTCTCCTTTATTCTTTTCATTAGCAAACGCTTACGAGCATTCAAATCAAGCTGTGTGGTATGATGCTGATGACGAGTGCTCACTTGATCGTCAATCACCAATTGAATTGAATTATCATGATGTAAGTCCTTAATCATTTATAAAAAAAGTTATATTTATTAACGTCCTCTTCTTTTTAGGCTCACGAAAGCTCTGGCATTCACCCAATTTCCTTCAACAATTATAATATACCCTATATAACACCCTCTCGGATAAAAAATAACGGTCATTCCGCCGATTTGCAATTTTCTATGAGCAATGTAGCTACAATATCAGGAGGACCATTGCACAATGACATTTATATAGCCGAATCCCTACATTTCCACTGGGGATCAGGCGATAATCATGGCTCCGAACATGTGGTTGGCTATCTGCGTTACTCAATGGAAATGCATATTGTTCATCGTAACATGAAGTATCCTACCGTTTCAGAGGCAGCACAACACTCAGATGGTTTGGCGGTATTGGGTGTATTTTATAATGTTGAGGTATTTCTGCTTGTTTTTAATATTCGTACAATTAAGAAATAAATATTTTTTAATTTTAGCCCTCTGCAAATAACTTTGAAGGCTTGAGTAAAATTGATGAAGCTTTGGGTGCCATTCAACAATACAATAGTTCCACTTTGGTGAATAACTTAATCTTAGACAGATTATTTGATGATATTGACAGAGATGAGTTCTTCACCTATAAGGGATCTTTGACTACACCACCTTGTTCTCGGGCCGTTACCTGGATTGTATTCCCAGAACCTATTGCCATTTCTACACAACAAATCCAAGGTTTCCGTTCATTGTATGATAGTAATGGAGAGCCATTGGTAAATAATTATCGTTTCTTACAAGCCAAGGGTACACGTCAAGTATTTTTCCGCTCCAACAATGAACTTTAAATATGAAAGAAGAAATTTAATGTTATTTATGACAAAAGCTGCAATATCTTAACTACTTTTAAATAAAATATTTTATCAAAAAAAGCGTGTTGTTTTACTTTCGTTTTCAAGAACAAAATTTTAGAATGACTTAGGTGTGTTAGTACATCCCTCAATTGAACGTGTCCAAGTACTTTACGTGAACACCGTGAAGGTACTTTTTTAACCACCGGTGTGTTAGAAGCACAATTTTTGTACATGGTTTAGTCGGTCTATGTACAAGAACTTTGCTTAAATGCTCGAGCTATATAATCTTTGTTAATTGCTGACCCGTTGCATAACTTCTGAAATGCAAAAACATCACTTCCGTTTACAACCATGCAGATGGGATGGCCTCTGTTGAGTCGGCAACAGAACCTACGTAATCGATAGAATCCATCAAATAAGTAGAGCACTTGTTCTTACTAACAGGCAACGTACTTTAGCAAATCTGGTATGAACAGAGTAAACCTTGAAACATACCCGGAAAATTCAATGGTATCACTTGTATAAGATACCTGACATTCATTACCATTCAAGCCAGCACACTTGTCTTCCAACTGACACACTCATTGAGGAAAAACATCCAACACACTCACATTAGGTATACGGGCGAGTAATGACCGTACAATCTTACATCCATCCCGTATATATATTATCATATATATTAGCAACTCATTTCCAACGCATAGTCCCGCACCGAACTTATACCGATCTATAGACTTTACCGTGCTCTCTTCCTGCTAATTTGGGACAAGACAAAGTCCGAAACTCTGTCCCGTGGGCTACCGGTTCCCTTGTTAGTAGATTATGTGGTTCTCTGTATCGATACCATGCCAAATCATTCCAGTTTATAGTCCCGGTAGACTAGGCGAAACTTGTCGCACCTCTTTTCCCCGGGATTGCAATAACACCAAGATTAGACAAAATTTAGTTAGTTAGTTAGTTAGTTAGTTAGTTAGTTAGTTAGTTAGTTAGTTAGTTAGTTAGTTAGTTAGTTAGTTAGTTAGGTAGTTAGTTAGTTAGTTAGGTAGTTAGTTTAGTTAGTTAGTTAGTTAGTTAGTTAGTTAGTTAGTTAGTTAGTTAGTTAGTTAGTTAGTTAGTTAGTTAGTTAGTTAGTTAGTTAGTTAGTTAGTTAGTTAGTTAGTTAGTTAGTTAGTTAGTTAGTTAGTTAGTTAGTTAGTTAGTTAGTTAGTTAGTTAGTTAGTTAGTTAGTTAGTTAGTTAGTTAGTTAGTTAGTTAGTTAGTTAGTTAGTTAGTTAGTTAGTTAGTTAGTTAGTTAGTTAGTTAGTTAGTTAGTTAGTTAGTTAGTTAGTTAGTTAGTTAGTTAGTTAGTTAGTTAGTAGTTAGTTAGTTAGTTAGTAGTTAGTTAGTTAGTTAGTTAGTTAGTTAGTTAGTTAGTTAGTTAGTTAGTTAGTTAGTTAGTTAGTAGTTAGTTAGTTAGTTAGTTAGTTAGTTAGTTAGTTAGTTAGTTAGTTAGTTAGTTAGTTAGTTAGTTAGTTAGTTAGTTAGTTAGTTAGTAGTTAGTTAGTTAGTTAGTTAGTTAGTTAGTTAGTTAGTTAGTAGTTAGTTAGTTAGTTAGTTAGTTAGTTAGTTAGTTAGTAGTTAGTTAGTTAGTTAGTTAGTTAGTTAGTTAGTTAGTTAGTTAGTTAGTTAGTTAGTTAGTTAGTTAGTTAGTTAGTTAGTTAGTTAGTTAGTTAGTAGTTAGTTAGTTAGTTAGTTAGTTAGTTAGTTAGTTAGTTAGTTAGTAGTTAGTTAGTAGTTAGTTAGTTAGTTAGTTAGTTAGTAGTTAGTTAGTTAGTTAGTTAGTTAGTTAGTTAGTTAGTAGTTAGTTAGTTAGTTAGTAGTTAGTTAGTTAGTAGTTAGTTAGTTAGTTAGTTAGTAGTTAGTTAGTTAGTTAGTTAGTTAGTTAGTTAGTTAGTTAGTTAGTTAGTTAGTTAGTTAGTTAGTTAGTTAGTTAGTTAGTTTGTTTGTTTGTTTGTTTGTTTGTTTGTTTGTTAGTAGTTAGTTAGTTAGTTAGTTAGTTAGTTATCATGTCACATGAAGTTTGAGCAAAATTCATTTTCTTGTATAGTAATTTCTGTTATTATAACGCTTTTTATTTTTTATGTTAAATGTAAAAATCTTAAATGAATTAATTTTCTTCATTTCTACCTAAAAAGTACTTGCCACACTCCACTAAGTGCTGCAAAAAAACAAAGATAAAGTTGATACCACAGGATGCTTTATAATGCACTTTTTTAATCTTTCCTCCATTTTTACTCCTTCTTCTTCTTATTTTATTACAGTTGAATGAACATGTGCATAAGTATGTGTTTAGTTTTAGTTAATGGTGTTTAAGTATGTGTCTTATACTCGTAACATGGCTGTTTGTTTGTGAATTGTGGCATGTTTGGTAAGCACCTGATCATGTATGCATGCAGTCATGCATGTTGGAGTAGAAGCAATAAAAACAAGATGAGAATTTGCTTCTTTAAAACATTATTTAACTAAAAAATGTTTTTAAATTATTTAATTTTTCTTTTACTTAAATACTTTGTATAAATTTAATATGTATGAGAATATGTATGAATTTTTTAAATCTAATATCTCATTCTCGTATTTAAGTATTTAAAAATCCTTCGCCTTACTTTGTGTTGTTGTTGTTTTATTTAGCTTTGATTTAGTTTATATTTTATGACTTTTTGCTGTAATCCAAGCATGTTGGCTTATAAGTAAGTATTTGTTTTTGTTTCTCCTTTTTTTATATCGTACAAGTTAATGTCACTTTCAGTTTCATGTTCTTCTGTCCCCAGTGACTGTATGCCAGTGTAAAATGTCTGTTTTTATGTTTGCATGTATGTAAGTATTTGTTTTTTTCTTCTTCTTCTGCTTCCTGTTTATTTCCTTACAACTTTTACACATATAAATAAAATATGAAGCATAATTTAGCTACAAAGCTTATAATGGCTTAAAGCTGTACTAGGGGTACTATTTTAGCCTTTACAACACACAACAAAAAACAAAGTAGAAAAATAAACAAAAATAATCTCCAATGAAGAATATTGCAACTGAAAAGTAATGTTACGAATGTTCTTTTCCACTGCCGTCTTCTACATCCCCAAGTCAGCATTTTGCAATATCTCAATTATTTCCTTTTCTTTTTGGTTGTTTTCGAAGCATGCTTGACTGCATAGAACAGATTTTTAAGATTCAAAGTGAAGAAACTTTGGCACAAGTAAGAAAATATATGACATACATAGTTCACATATAAATATGTATGTACATATGTATACTTACATACAGATAAATTCCGGTTAAACTTGGTACAAGTATATATATGTATGTGTATGTATGTAATTATTCCTTCTCTAAAAAATAAATCTGTCTTTTTAATGAAAATAAAGGACTAATAACAATTATTTAAAATTCTATTAGTTTTTTCCAGAAAGTACTTATTTAATCATAAATGTTGCAAGAAACATTTATTTTTATATGTGTAAAGTCATAATTTCTTAAAAATGCAAAAGTAAGATAATTAAGAAATTACAATCAGTCATGGAAATTTAGCACCTACATATAAATTAATTTTTAAGAGATATTCCTGAGGATATGCCCCTATTCTCCCAACTATATTCCCTGATTACAATTTTATGGTTATCAAAAGAATGTTTTATAAATATCAGCATTACGATAATGATGATAATGGTAATGATCATTATCTTCGGAAAAATTCCTAAGCATCATTTCTTATATCTTCTGTTATTGTAAACGTTGTTGAAGCAAAAACTGTAAAAGAAATACACATGAAAATATTTTCAAATACACTAAACAAAAATTTGGGTTGTTTTAAAGAAATATATTCAACGATATCTTATGCAATGGTATATTATACCATTTTTCACAGTATACAAACCATTAAATAGGACATACCAGTGTATGTATGACTCTTACAATGTGGAACACATACTCAACAAAATATATCGTAGTTGTTTGAAAGCAATTCTAAGAATCTTGTAGTTTGTTGATTTCTGTTTCTTATTTTTCAGTTTTATACAAATTGCAATTTAGTTTAACCAACATCATGCCCCCAAATAAATACACACACAAACAGTCTCATGCAATTATAATCATAAAATACACAAACATTCATTTTTTACACACTCCCACATAAGGCGCCACTTCAAAAATGTTGAACGCAGCTACAATTTCTTCTAAAATCAACACAAACACTTGCACCCATTTACACCCCTTCAGACCCATGACCAACAACTAATAAGTGCAGTTTCCTGTTCAACCCATAGACATGCATTACAGTTATGTAGTGTGACGTAAATGTATTGGTGTGTATTTGTTTGTTTTTATGAACGGAAGAAGAAATAAAAAAGGAAATGCAGTAAATGATGGCATGTTTGTTTATAATTATAAGTAGTTTTCTTCCATTTTTTTTTAAATTTTTTACCTCTAAACATACACTGTTGTATGTTTACATGTATGTATAACACATTCATACATGCATCCATAGATATGGAGGTTTGAGTGCCGTAGGAATTATATGAAGTGCAAATGTATGCCGTTGAATACTAATTCAAGAGTGCAGTTGAAATAATTTTTCAACATGGTTCACATTCAAGACATTTCTTTTGTCTTCGAGTAAATAATTTATATTTTTTTAGTCCTTGTCATGTAATGATGATAATGACAATGATGCAATTAAGTTATTTACTTTGTTGGTAACTTTAGATATATTTTTAGAAATAGTTATCGTAACATAGAATCCGAATACTATTGGACAGGTTTGAAACTTAAATTTGTTAATTTTGTTGCAAATTCTAAAATTAAAAGCAATAGTTAGTAAACACTTTAGCCGAATTAACTAAAGCCGGTTACAGGGCTCATCATTAAAGTATACTGGAAGTATTAGTTGGTGATAAAATACACCAGACGGTCCCGATAGCGTATATATAAAATAGATTGGAAGAGCGGATTCAGAAAAAATCACTAATATAGGGCATCCCATAATTGAGCATGACCGATTTACTACTTGTATTTTCTTTGAATTTTATAAAATTAATTTAAGCATAAAT